TGTTAAAAAATTTAAATCCAGAAAGTTTATATATGAAAACCGGGAAATTAATATCACAAAGTACAAACAAACGAAACTAGAAGGGTCCATTTCTTATAAGGTTTTTTAAATAAATAGTATAGCCGTTCGGCTATACTAGTTTTGACACATGGGCAGGGCGCTAGGCGGCCCTTTTTCTTTTTGGTAAATCCTACGGCCGGGCCCCTATACTCTGTGACTTTTGTAATTTTTTTTTATAAATAGTATAGCCGGTCGGCTGTACACTTTACATAGATACTGTGATTTTTTTAAAAAATTGTTTTCCCCCTATTTTTGTTTATCGATAGTTTAGAGCATTATCCATTACTATTAGAAGATGAACCAAGTCTCTATTGTCCCCTTTGGAGTTTTTTACTTTTCCAGAGTTATTACCCAGACAAAGAATATAGCATTATCACAACCAATTTCAGAGAAAGCCCTAAACCCTAAACCAATTTCAAACAAACCCATAAACCCTAAGCCGTAAGAAAATGTCGATCAACAGTACCTGGTTCAGGTAATCGATGGCATGCATCTTCAATTAACGGATTCCGCTGGCAGAGGAAGAGAGAAGAGAGAGTGAGACCTCAGCGACCAGAGACTGAGAGCGCGAGAGACGGAGCCAAACAGAGACGGAGCGAGACGGAGCCAAAGAGAGACCTGATCGCGAGAGGTGATTTACAGAAAAAGTGTTAGCTGAGCAATAAGTGTACAATAATTTTATATTTATAGATGTTAGTTGTAAAAAAATTGGGAGCCGGTGGTATTTTTAATTGAGATTATAATTTTGGTGGTATATACCGCTATTTCCCATTTTTTTTTTAGAAATAGTATAGCCGTTCGGCTGTACTCTTTACATAGATACAGTGATTTTTAAAAAAAATTGTTTTTCCCCTAGTTTTGTTTATCGATAGTTTAGAGCATTATCCAATGCTATTAGAAGATTAACCAAGCCTCTATTGTCTCCTTTGGAGGTTTTTACTTTTCCAGAGTTATTACCCGGACAAAGAATGTAGCTTTATCACGTTTAATACTTGCATTTTATACGTACGTACTTATTTCTCATGTTTAATACACCTGGTTTTCACAAAATACACACTAAATGCATGTGTTATACACATAATTTTAGCATATGATTGAATAAAAATAATTTATATTACAAAATTTAAATCTAGAAAGTATGAATATGAAAACAGGGAAATTAATATCATAGAGTAAACAAACGAAACTAGAAGGGTCCTTTTGTTGTAAGGGTTTTTAAATAAATAGTATAGCCGCGCGGCTATACTAATTTTTACACATGAGCACTAATCTTTAGGCGGGCGCTAGGCGGGTTTTTTTTTTTGGGTGATTAGTACAGCCGGTCGGCTATACTCTATGACTTTTGTAATTGTTTTTTTAAATAGTATAGCCGTGCGGCTGTACGCGATTGTCACCTTTGGAGTTTTTTACTTTTCCAGAGTTATTACCCGAACAAAGAATGTAACATTTTCACGTTTAATACTCTTATTTTATACGTACGTACTTATTTCTCATGTTTAATACACTTGGTTTTTACAAAATACACACAAAATTCATGTATTATGCACATAATTTTAGCATATGATTGAATAAAAATAATTTATATTAAAAAAATTTAATCTAGAAAGTATATATATGAAAACAAGGAAATTAATATCGTAAAGTATAAACAAACGAAACTAGAAGGGTCCTTTTCTTATAAGGTTTGTTAAATAAATAGTATAGCCGCGCGGCTATACTAGTTTTGACACATGGGCACTAATCGCTAGGCGGTCCCCTTTTTTTTTTTTGGTTAAACAGTACACCCGGTCGGCTATACTCTTGATATTTTTTTTAAATAAACAAGATACTGTGACTTTTGTAATTTTTTTTATAAATCGTATAGCCGTGTGGCTGTACTCTTTACATAGATACTGTGATTTTATTTACAAATTGTTTGTCCCCAATTTTTGTTTATCGATAGTTTAGAGCATTATTCCATTACTATTAGAAGATTAACCAAGTCTCTATTGTCTCCTTTGGAGTTTTTTACTTTTCTAGAGTTATTAACCGGATAAAGAATGTGGCATTTTCACGTTTAATACTCATATTTTAGGACTTGAACTGCCTAAGAATTGTGGAATGCATTTCGGGAGTAGAAGTACAGTTGCCCATCAAATCCTTCTTAGTTATTTTGATCATAAGGTAGTACGAATTATGCTTTTATTATAAGTTTTATCAAACAACTGTCCCCGTGAACTAAGTTAAGCTGTTAATGAGAAAGAAAGGGGCAGTATCTATGCAAATCCAATACGACTTGAATGTCAAAGACAAAAGCTGTGATTTTTTCAAGATGTACATACACTTGGTGTTGACAGAGAATTGGCTCTTGTCTATTCAACCTTGAGAAGACAAGCCAATCTTCAGGGCACCGTCAGCTAATTCGGGTCGCCAAGTTGAAATCATGTATATTACGGAACATATGAGTAGGAAAGAATCAGGAAGAAAGTGCCCCGATACATTATGAATTGCTAACAACTGGAGTTGTATTGAGTCAGGATCCTGAAGCAGGACGTTTTGAAGCATATCTGGGTGGCTTGCCTCTAGTGGTTTTTGCAAAGGGAATGTTCGTTTGGTTTTATTTGCTTCTTTCCTCCCTCACTAAGTTTCTCTGTAATGGATATACTGGTAATGTATTATGTAATTGGAGACAAATGCAGAGCAACAATGGCTTCTTCCCCTACCTAGTTTAAAATTGCTTTTGAATTTTCTTTCAAACCCCTAAATTAGAGAGAAAAATGTCATTCAATTTTAATTGGGTTAGCTTTGAAAGATGAGACTAAATACAAACGCCTTTCGGCCTTAATCAAGATTTCATTAAGTTTTAGTAAGGATGTATCTCAAGAGATGTGAAAAATGAGAGTCCAAGTGATAGTGTATAGCTTTTTTCTTTTCTTTTTTCTACTTAAAAATACGGCAATTAGAAAGAACAAGCACTGCAAAAGGAAGAGTGTGGTCCCAATATGACAATTAGAAAGGGAACGACTTAATTATGCTAAATCATTAGCAACTAAGTTAGTCTCTCTAAAAATATGGTGAAATTGTACATCATCAAAACAATGACAAATGAATTTAATGTCTCAAATGATCATTCGAACTTGCCAAGAGATCGAATGAGTCCGTAATAAGCAAGTAATTAAGAGTTTGAAATCCCCTTTAACCAAAACATTAAAACATTAGTGGACCCTGCCTTGGAAGCACACAATAGGATTTGAAATTTCATCTCTAATAACAAAAACCTGAAATAGTAGGAAGAATTTATCAGAAAATAAATTATTACTCCTTTTTTTTTTTGTTCAAACAGAAGTTATACTTTAGTGTATAGTCGCCATTATGATTCTGCTACAATGATGAAACAGTGCACAATTTCTTCATCATAATTTCACATTTATGTGTAAATTTTTCAGTTTGATGAAATTAGGTTAAAATTGTACATTTCCTTCAAGTAAGTTGCTCGAAGTTTAAATTTAAATCACAGTTATTTGTTTATTTTTATTTTTAACTACAACTATAGGGATTAGCTTTCGACCAAAAATAAAAGTATTGATGTAGCTAAAAATTGGTAGTTGGTCCCAAAAACAAGGCTAGGGTCGTTGTAATATTCAAAATCAGGTTCGGATAGCTTTCTCACCTTGGCTTCGGAAAGCCGTTGTGAAACCGAACCTTACTCCGAACATACATACTTTGCCACTTTGCTTTGCTTTCCTCTTTGTTTTCCCTTCCTTTCTTCTCTCTCTCTGTTTGCTCAGAAGAACCCAACCTTTTTGCTTCACAGCGACAAAAGAAATAAAATTAGGGTTTTATTCGATCTTTACTCTTCAGCCATTTGATTAGTTTCCCTCCCAGATTTCAAAAAGTACAGCCATTTGTGCTTTTAAAAAAACTCTGCTTTGCGGTCTTTTAATCCTCTGCAATTCACTTGCTTGTTTGTTTAATTTCCCAATTCCCATCTGGGTTCTCCTCAATTGAAGTGCGTTGTCTCCCAGAAATCTCTGTTCTTCATGTTTGGGCCACATTTCTTGAAAACCCAATTGTGATTGTTGAAGTTAAATTAGGGTTTCGAACGTAAGAAGTGAGAGAATGGCCAAGAGATCTTCTTTGGGTGGCATGATGCGGAAGAAGCTAACCGACATCACTAATTTGCAGACTGCGAAAGCTATTAGCCAAGATGAAAAGCCCCCAGAAGATTGTCCTACTGATAAGGACTACATTGACCAGCTCATGAGGGTAAAATCTCACTTGGGTCCTCTTCAATTTTTATTCTTTTCGTATTTTTTGTTAGATTTTCTTAGTGGGTTTTGTGTTGTGAACTTCTGAAACAGGAAAGAATGACTTTGATGAGACTTGTCGCGGAAAGGAAGTATCCTTCTATTGTTCTTCAATTTTTATTTTTCTGTTTGGTTACTGTGATTGTGCCCCGAGAAATTGAAGTATAGGTTGAGATAGAAACGATGACACTCAAAGTTGTTCCCTTTTCTTTGGTATGTCTTGGTTTTGGCATGTTGCTCAATTTTTCTGAGATGGAGAAGGGTTTTCCTTTAATTATATTTAAACAGTAAAATCGTTGAATTAAGTGGAGCTGAGTTGCAGAAACTGCGGATTAGTCTTCAGAAATTGCAGCAACAAAATTTGAATCTTGCTCAATCAAACAGCCGGATGTTAGCGGTGAGTTTTTCACATTAATCTTAGTGCCTAAACACTTTTCTACATTAATCTTAGTGCCTAAGTGTCTCTGGTAATTACTCTCTGTTATTGATTCTACAGGAGCTTAATTTAGGAAGAGAAAAGGTACGCTTGTCAATAACCGAATGTAGGTACTTTGTTTGTGAAGTCCTCACTTCTCATAATATCTTAGACTTCTTTCTTTGTCAATACCAGGTAAAAACACTACAGCATGAACTTCTTTGCAAGGATGCCTTACTTAAAGCGAAGAATTTAGAAATAGAGGTTAGCCCTTATCTAGCATTGTATATAATTAGGAATGCAATCGAAATCTTGACTTTTAAATTCAGTGGAACTAAAACCAATACCAATTTTTTACATTGTGTACACTATATATCTGCTGGAACTGTTACTGCAAGTTTTCCTGCTGTTTACTTATATATTCTTGAGTTTTTATGGATAACTAATGGCAATTTACTTATATAATTGAGCTTTACTTTTATAACTGCTTCTCACTCCTTCTCACTCCTTTTCTTCTCCGGCTTGTTTGTTGGCACTCAAAAATAGCTGCGACTATTACTGATCAGAAATTCTCCCACTTCTGATTCTGAAATATTTATCAAATGCTTAATTTGGTATAATTCATCATGATGGATAGAGTTGATCTCTGTTTCCTGCTTTTTCAATAAGCATTCCCCAAAAGCAGGCTTGGAAACTGTCCCGTGCCTATTTTGGTGTTTCTGCATCTGTTCTATGGATAACTTTATACTGTTGTTTTTTTCTTAAGTAATTGTTTGCTTACTTAATAGAAGCGTTAGTTAAGCCTTGTTGTTCCACTTCTAGCACAAGGCCTTGTCTTCTGGTAACTTCCTGTGCATACTGTTCCTATAAAAATAAATAATAAATAATAAAAAAGAAGAAAAGTAAACTGAAAATAACCAGCAACAATGTTGTAGTATATGCTATACAATGATGAAGTTGAGAAGAGTAAATGCCAGTATTTAGAAGCCACTACACTAACTTCTTCGGCTTCTCTGCATGTATTCTCATCATTCCATGTACACTCCTGAAATCTCCCTTTTTTCTCATAAATGTTGAGCAGCATGGATGAGCAGCAATCAGTGACCTGTTCTGCTTTAGTAAATCTGATTCTGTTGTTATTCTATATGAAGTCATGCCTTGAGTCAGAAGTTTCAATTCAATGATATTTTTGTTTGATTCTTTTATAATATACCCCTCATATTACAGGGAAAAGCAGAGAAATGTCAAAATACTGTGTCTCAGGTATCTAAGGTAACCATTCAGTTATGAATTTGTATGTAGTTAAAGCCCTTACATTTCTATCACTTAACCTCATTTATTTTTCCAGCTCAAGGAAGTAGATGAGGCAGCTTTGCATAAAGCTGATAATGATGGTGAACCATGTAATGACAACAAAAGACGCGTCACAAGAAGTCGATGTAAACTTTGATGATCTAATTTTCTCATTGGAATATTTCTTGCTTTTCCTCTTTCTGTTGCACCAAACATGTTAACATTTGCGCTTGCGAATTCTTGCAGCAATGGGGCCGTCTACTGCATGCCCAAAGGTTGAGAATAAAGAGAAGGTTGAAAATAAAAGGTTAGTTCCCGAGTCCTGCATCAAGTATTTCTGAATAAGGACTAAGATATGGACACTTCAAATGCCATTAGCCTATCTGTACTACAGTCTACATCCCTCTAGATAGTCCCGCATCATGTATTTCAGGATGCACTTTTGCTAGGAATTTTAACCACCCCTAGGACTTTTCTTCAAGCTGCTCCACCTATTGGATCAAGAGTTCCACTAAGTCTCCTCTCTCACCATGTGTCTTTTCCACCTTAAAAGATTATCACATTATGTGTGTCTTAACCGAACTGTCGGCTCTGGTACCACTTATAGAGCAACGAAACAACATGGGATTGTTACTAATCTCGATCCAGCACTGGTATGGTCCCCAACTTAGCCACCGTAGGGTTTTTATCACAAAAGAATGTCGTGTTAGTAGTAGTGGACCACCCAACTTATATACGTTGTAGATTTATCACCCTTCTTTTCTTTTTCTTTTTTTGGTCTGAATTATCACCTTCTTATGTAGGATTATCTCCATATCCATGGCGTCTATCGAGCCACATAACTCCAACACTTTGAGTACTAATTATTATGTTAGTCATCTAATAAGTAATAGCATGATGTTTGTCAAATTGTCATATGTAATATGTGCCAAGTTATTACATACGCTTCCCATTAATGCATGTTTTTCTTTGTTCAGGCGGTGTTTGAGGAGGCAATCTGCTAGGTTTAGGTCCCAGACAGAGAACTTATTTGAGATAGAGGATGTCAAATTTCCAGTCAGTCGCACACCAGACAATCCAATGCATAATAGTGGTCCCACTCCATTGATTTCATCTACCAGTAAAGAAGAGAAAGAAAACTGTGCCCCAAGGAGATCTTCAGTTGGAAGACCACCGCGCAAAGCAGCTGAGAAGGTTCATTCCTACAAAGAAGTTCCTCTCAATGTAAAATTGCGTAGAGCAGAGTGAGCAGAAGAGCAGCATCTGAATTTTGAGAATACCAGTGAGTTGAAAAGAGCTTGTATAATTCAAAAAAATAACAAATATAAAAGTGCTAGACCAATATATCCTCATCTTTATGTATCTTTTAACTTATCAATGGTCTCAGGTTCAAACCCACATGGCATCATGATAGTGTGTGTGAGAAACCCTCCTCCCTCTTGTAGTTTAGACTATCGCTTGTATTCTAAAAAAAATAAACTTGTGGTGTTGTTCATTGTGATGTTGTTATTTTATTCTAATGGGAAAAAAAGCTTTTATTATCATTTATTGGTTTTTGTATAAAAGAAGTGACATCTACTGTTACTATGAAAATTTTATATGAAAATCTTATAATTAATATTAAAAAAATGCACCCAAAATTCTACACCTTTCTTTCATAAAGTAATTGAGCACTCAAAATTCTATTGTATTAAAGTATTGTACAACTTTATTTATACCTGCACACAATTTTTGAAAAAATATTTTACCACACATACATTGCAGGCCAGTTATCAAAACTCGTATTTGAGACCTTCTGACTTGGACTTGGTCGCTCGACTTTTGAGTTTAGATGTGGATTCGATCTAAGCCTCAGGACTTCCATATCAACCAACGTTAAAATAAATTTTTATTTTTTTAAAAAAAAAGTAATGAAGAAAAAAAAAACAAAACAAAAGGCAACTCTACGCAATGAGCATGCAAAAACGCCAAAAATTAAAATTAAGGTATCATAAGAACAGCACCCATCCGTTGGATCCAACGGCAATGGATTGACCAAAAAAAAGGTAAAAGGCAATGGCTTTCTTCGTGGTTTGACCAAATCTTTGACCAAAATTAAAATCAATAAGGAAAACTCTCTCTCCTACGGCTTTCTTTGTTTCCAAGTAACTCTTGGCTTATAAATATACACTCTTGCGCACTTCACTTGAACAAGAACACAGTCTTCCTCCTTTGGGCAAAAGTTAAATCAAGATTGTGTGTGGTTCTTTGCACGGATCAGCAGTGCATATGAACACGTCCAGCGCTGGGAAATCCGATTCTTTGACAACCCTTTTCAGGTTTTCGGGGAATTCGTTACGGTAAATCGGTGTCATTCGACAAGATTGTGTGGTGAAGGTCTTTTCTCTAACTCTCTCTCTCTCATGGCTAATTCCGGCGTGACACAGCTGCTCGGCTTCCGGTTCCGCCCCACGGACCGAGAAATCATCGGCTCCTTTCTCTACAAGATGGTGGTGGAGAAAAGGCCTCTGACCTCGATGCCGCAATACAACAAGGTTATCCACAAGTGCAACCTCTTCGGCAACAAACGAGAACCCTCAGAAATTTGGAGAGATTACGGAGGAGATCAACTTAAGGATCAAGACTTGTACTTCGTTTCGGAGCTCCAGAGAAACGGTTTGCGCATCCAACGCAAGACTGGCCGCGGTACTTGGAGCGAAACCGAAACCTACCAAAATGTTAAGGATGAGGTGGATGAGATTAATGGAAAATCTAATCTTGATGTTATTGGGAGAAAACGGAAATTCCGGTACGAGAACGGGAATACTTCGGAGGACCACGCCGTGTGGCTTTTGGATGAATATAGCCTTTTCAAAAAGGCTTGCAAGAACGGCACAAGTAGTAATTGCTATGATTTTGACGTTGTGATTTGTCGGCTGAGAAGGAAGGGCAATATGGACAAGTCTGGGAAAAAGAGGAAGTGCTCGTCTCAAGATCAATCAAACAAGAAGATGAAAAGAGATCAATCTACAAAGGAGATGAAAACTGAAAATTCATTGGGGCCGCAAATGATGAATGATGAGAAGAATCAGTTGATGATCAATGACAGTACCACTTATGATCAAGAATATTTGATCGACACCAATTATAAAAGCTTCGACATTGATGAAATCTTTGCAGAACTAGACCGTGAACTGCCATTGTTACACTCGCAGCAACTGCCTCAGATTGCTGAAAGCCAAGAAGAGCCTTGTGTTAATCAAATGGACGGACCAGTGGAAGCAGCCACCAGCAATCTGAGTAATTTTGAGTATAATAGCGATGAACTAGCGGGATTAATAGGGCAACATAATATGAATGCATATGATCATGATGATCCGAATTTATTCTTCGAAGTCGATGAACTATTGGCAGAAGATGCAGAGCCCTTGTCAACCTTTGCAGAGCTCGATGATGTTTATAATGTGGTCAGCCAACCATTAGAACAAAACAGCAACTGGTCCGATTCATTTATGGATCAGACTTACAATTCCTTTATGGAGGAAATCATGGCTGATTAAATAGATATATTGTACAAGTGTAACTGGCTGTAAGTTTAGATGTAATTTTTTCATGAACAGGCGAAATGTACATCCTTTATTCTGTAGTAAACTATGTGACAGAGATTAGACTTCCATTTACTTTTCTCCTATGTTCGTTTGGTTTTCTTTGCTTCTTTCCTACCTTTGCTTAGAGGATGGTCTATAAGTTTATTATAAAAGATGATCACTGCAACTTCCATAATTATATCACTTATCATAGCAGAGAATGCCGTAATGAATATTGCTATTTGAACCACATTTACGGATCACTGATATATGAATCTAATTAGTAGATGTTGTGCAAATAGTTTTACTCGTACCTTAATAGCGGACTGAGCCAACCCCCATATCTTTGTTCTAGTACTTGGGGCAGGTCATTGTGGTGAAGTGTCACAAATGGCTCTATTCCTGCATGGTAGCAGACTTAGATGACTAAAATTAGTTTAATTTGGCTACTAACTTACTACTTAGTAAATCGAGTGCTCATGTATGCACAGCTACCTTTGCTTAGAAGATGGTCTATAAGGTTATTATAAAAGATAATCCCTCTTGGATTGACTGAGCCGAGCATCCCATCTGTGAATGGCTCAAGAAGATCATTTCCAATTTAAACTAAGTTGTAAAAAGCCCAGATTAACAACAGAACAAATCAAACAAAAACCAAGATTAAACCATAAACCAAATTAAGATAACACAAAGTGGGCACCGTACCAGGTAGAATTCTAGCCCAGGAAATGGAGAACCGGTATGCATTTGTTCCTAAGGAATGCATACCGGAACCAAAGATTGCCATCATGCATTGCTGCTGCTACTTTGAAACTCTTTGATTCAATTCCACAGGCATCACAGTCATCTAAACCAACCTCATGAACAGTTTCCCCAAATACCTTGCAGGAAACGTTGTTTGCAAGCAAGGTTCCATTCAATCAAGATCCGGGATTAATATCCTGCTACTCTCGTATGACACCAATTTCTCAACTGAGATTGATTTTATCACTCTTCAAATTATTCTGCTCTACGGTAGTATCTTTCTGGCAATAGCTTTTGTCATCTTCAGTCTGTAACTGAGGGACACCAGACCAACTTTTAACAGCTGAGTTGCAATCTTTGGTTCTGAAATCTTTGGGCTCAATTACGTCTTTTATCGCAGAGCCACCCTCAACTTGCACTTTCACGTTTAGCTTGGACATGAAATCTCCCACACTATCCAATTTCAAAGAACAGCCTTGTCAATGAAGCTGAAAGTCATTCCTTGACTATGAGTCCAGGTTGTAACTCTCAACCAGTTTTCAGATACTGATGCAGTATTATCCACATTCTGGGACTCCACTATTTCTGCGACATTAGAACTGAAATCTAGCATACCATGTGGTATTAGGGAAAGGGTTCTGGAAATTTCTGATTCACTTCTGCAGGCACCAGTTCCTTCTGGTTCTTTTGAATCAACAAATTGAAGAACATTTTTCTGCTGGGATTCTTCAGGGAAAAAACTGAAACACAATCATTTAAGTGCAATTTATTTTCCTGGAAAACCTGTCCTCCAACATAGCAGGAATTTGGAAGGTCTAGCTGTTCGGGTTTTTCGTTTCCACAATCAGTTATCACCAGTTGACAATTTTCTGGACCTGAACTGCTCAGGTCAACATCATTCGTTTCATCTATTATCCTTCCACCTAAAGCCAGCATTTGTGCATCTTCCACATGTGGGTTCCTACTCTTTGTGTTAAATCTACTACCATCATCTTTTGCTTGGTTTTTAAATCTAGAGTCAGACACAGCATCAGACCTTTTCAAATCAGATGCACTAGAACTTTGGACCTTTGGACTGACATCTGCAACCTTCACAGAACTGTAGCTCTGGATCTCTTCAGAAACTTGACATTCCTTGGTGAAACTACCCGTGTTTTCCCATATCATTTGATCCCCATCAGAAATTTGGGTTGCCTTCACAGGTCATAGGTTTAAACAGATCAGCTTGTGCCCCATGCAGTTCATTGACATTATGATCGCTGCTTGACTGATCATCCTATGATATTAAGACACTACCAGAAGAACTTGCCTCTTCTTTGACTACTTCAACAGTTTCAGGTGAAGCAGTCTCACTTTCTTTCCATGTCAGGTGTTGTTGTCTCATATGCAAGAAAAAAGCGCAGTAAGAACGCTACTAAAACCAGTATTTGAATCCCACCCAGGTGGTAATGATGAGTTTTTCTAATTACCTAAAGTTCATTGTCATTGGGCTCTGGAATTTGAAGCTGAGCAGATATGTTCTGTAGCACAAGTAGAAGAATATGAAGAAGGCCAGATTCATTGCCTAACTCAACTCTAGCTATAGTTATCACAATAAATGGAAAATGAATATATTACCCAAAGAACTATGCACCATTAAATTTTCTAATGCTAACAAGTTCAGTCATCAAAGTTGAAGTGCATGTTCTCTATAAATTTGACTGTTTATGAATTTCTACTCCCGCTCAAGATACGATAACAGAAATGATAAATAAATGCCGCACTGACCTGATTTGCTGTTAGCAGCACTCTCCTACTAGAATTTGATCCCCGGGCACCAACTACACATGTGCAAGCATGGCTGCTGGGTTCTCCAACATACTTAACATACATAAATACATTTACAATTGCAAACATGCTTGCAGGCTCCGATTGCATTTGCAACAATGGTTAAACATCTTTCTCAAAAGCTTGATTCCCTTTTCCATGATTAAACAACTATAGCTTTGATAAGTGACTGATAGGACTGCTCCCAACAATTTTTATTAAGCACAACGCAGCACACGCACAAACGCAATCCAATAACACAATCTTGACAGCTAAACTATATGAGCTGCAACTGCTTGTTTTCAAATCTTATGAAAAATCAGATGTTAGGTACAACTAACGTATTCATCCATGGATTCTCGATCCCCATTCACTTAAATTAGGCGGCCACTTAAATATGATATTCATCATGGGTCAAATATACATATATATGCCAAAAGCTTATTAAAAATACATAAATTTAAAAAAATTAAAAAAAAACAGATGATTTGATAAACCTTTTCTTGAGCCAATTTCGGCAGGTTAGGAACTTCCTCCACCAATCAAGCTTTGGTCCGTCGAATCTCCACATTCGTTGCAACCGCCACAACCCGATTACTCACCCATCTCGGCTTTCTGCACATTTCAGCACACAATCAAACACCAGGCACTGAAATCTTTCCGTTTCCCCTGTCTCTCCGTTGCTACATTTTCTCGGCAACCAAACAGAAACAATGGAAAGAAGATCAGACGAGATTCAAACAACCCTGAAGAGCAGCTTAAATTTTTCCGTTGACGCCAACGTAGCGACGAGCGAAGGCATCGTCGCCGTAAGGGTTGAGGTCGGGCTGCTTCTCCAAGTCGTACTTGTCGTATTTCTCGTTTCCTCACAGAATTAAAAGAAAATATCCCGGCTTTAGAGAGAGAGTCTCTCTCGTCTCGTTCAGGCATTGCGTCTCTCTCGCTCTCTCCTCTCTGTGCCCTGTGAATTTTCCATGCTTTTTCATTTTTGGAGAAGGAAGGACACGAAAGGGCGACTTCATTCAGAGTCTTTTTGGCGGGTACACATCCAATCCGTTTTTACGTTTTTCTGTGGTTTTGCCCCTAAATTATTTGCATATTGTCAATTTAACTACTTAACAATTTTTTGGGTAAATTAAAGATTTCAATTGTTTAAAAATCGTCAATTAAGGGTCTACCGCCAAATTTTTTAAATTCTATCCAAATTAACGGTAAACTCGTAATTTTAAGAAATATAAAATAAAAACCTCACCAACCTAAAATTAAACATTTAACTTTTTATTTTATTTTAAATTAATTAAAATATTAAAAAATCAACTGAAAAATAAAGTAACAACAAAACCTGTCATCTCTCTCTCAAATTTAAGAGCTTCTAGAGGTCCCTATTTTAGGAGATGAATATGGAGCATGGTTGGATTTGCATTTTTTCAATTCCTTCCTAAAATTTGTCTAAGGAGGTGGTTTAGAGAGCCCATTGCAAATGCTCTCCAATCAAACAATTGAGTTTTGCGTTTGCGGCACCTGTTTCAATTGGGGGGTCCTACTAACTCGATGTTTGAGGGAAGCGTTCACACCTCACTTGACCAGGCTTAGCTCAAAAAATCAATCACTTTAATGACATGCTTAGTTACAAGCACACTTTACTAGTCTGGGTGATTTAATTAGAATATAGAGCTTTTGAACTCCATTCCCTTGCAAAAGTAACTATATAAATTCAACTTTATAAATTTTGGGAGATTTCCCTTTGCAAAAGTAACTATATAAAGTCGGCTTTATAAATTTTGGGAGATTCTCCAATTAAGTTTTTTATGTTAAGGATTGATTACATACTTATAATCTTAGTCGTTGCATTGCATTCAATTAAATGTATTGGTAATCACTTAGATGCAATCCAACAGTCGAAATTAGAAGTACGTAACGAATCCTTAAACAAAGTTTTGTAGGTATGTTAAGTGAATTTGTGGGTACAAATATAAATCTCAAACGAAAACTGCGGATCAAAATATACCGGAGCCGCAATTGCTCTGCTTCTAATTTTGTTTCTAGACAACAGCACAAAAGAGGACTGCAGAGAGCAGAGAGCAGAGAGCAGAGAAGGAGCAAAATAGAGAAAACGAGGTACAAGAAGCTATTTGGAAGCCAAAACCTAAGACAACAGCTTGTATTGTCTACACTCACCTTCACGCCCATTCAAATTCACGAAATACGAAACAACGAGCCATGGCCCGGTCTCCGCAAGTACGAGGTCTCCCTCCTCAAGTTGCTCGCTTTGGTCTGCCATGGTTGTTCTTTCGAAATCAACGACACTGGTACGCAGTTACCCTCCCCAAACACTAATTTTTTTTCATACCTATATATATATAGTTCTGAGTTGTGTTTTTGTTCTGTGTGTTTGGGTAGGCAATGGATTGAAGTTCAAGCCAGGGATGGTGATGGTTGGGTCGAAACTGGAAGACGACTGTGGTGTTAAGCGGTCTATTGGGTATTTCTTGGAACCCTTGATTTTGCTTGGCCTCTTTGCCTAGAAACCCATTACCATTACGCTTAAAGGTAGCTACCTTTTTCACTGCTAATTCTGAACCGTGTTGCTTAAACGTTGCTATGACTTTGAAAACTGCATAATTGTAACTAGTTCTAAATTTTGGCACTTGGTAATGACAGAGTTTTGGTAATATTAAGAATTCAGTTTGTTTGTTTTTTTAGCAATCAGTTTGTTTGAACACTTACAATTTTACAATGTAAATGGGATTTTAACAATCGGTTCTGGCTAACTAATTTCTTGAACACTTACAATTTTACAAACCCAACTATTTAGTTCTAGCATAGATGTATTTTTATTTTTATTTTTATTTTTTATTTTTAAGGTGCGTTTGAGTTCATATTGCTTTGGGTCTAAGTGAAGAACAGGAGTTTGACAATGTCTTCTTGCTTTAAGATCATGGTTCTTTTATATAACCATAAACACTCTTCCAACAGCACAAATTTTCAATTATTTACCTATTTATTTTCTAGTCAACACGGTCAACAGGGGGAAGTCACTTGCATTTTGTTCTTTCAGGACTTACAAATGATTCCAAGGACCCATCTATTGATACCTTCCGGTCTACTACCTTTCCCATTTTAAAACGCTTTGGAGTTCCCTCAGAAGGATTGGAGCTGGAAATAAAGAGTCATGGATGCGCTCCTAAAGGTGGTGGTGAAGTCGTTGTGGCAATCCCAGTTGTTCAAAGTCTGACTCTGAGTTTTTGAGACTTATGGGATAGTCTTTTTTTCTTCATTTTGTTGGGTTTTGTTTTATATGCTTTGCTCTACAGGGAGTAACCTGGACTGATGAGGGGTTGGTTAAGAGGATTAGAGGTGTTACATTCTCAACGAGAGTGTCCGTGCACTTTGAAAATACAATGGTACATGCAGCTCGCAGTCTTTCATCCCTTCCTTCCAGATGTTCACATATTTACTGACCATAGAGTTGGCCCACAAGCTGGAGAGTATGTTTTCCATCCGGATATTTTTATATTTCTCTAATGTCAGGATGTATTTGATGGAATTGTGAATGTTTTTTTTGAGGTTTATGCTATTTATGTACACTTCCACTCATATAGACAACAGTGACTTTATGGCAGGTCACATGGTTATGGAATGTCAATAGTTGTGGAAACAACCTCTGGCTGCTATATCTCTGCTTATACAACTATTTCTCATGCACGAAGGGAACAAATATCTGAAGTTGACTCTGAGAAGAAAGAGCTGGTGCCTCCAAAGGATGTTGGTTTGAAAATTGCTTCTGTTCTGCTTGGGAAGATTGGGCAGGGCGGAGTGGTAGATTCAAATCTCCAGGTTAGTTATTTTACGTATTGTGCTCCTTCCCTACTGACTTAATTCTCGTACTTTCTCATTTTTATTGATTTTAGAACCTTCACACCATAGGACAGTAATTAGGGAAGTGTGCACTAAAACAGGAAAATGATTTCAAGAAATGGATGAAATGAAGGAAAAAGTTGTCCTAGATGGAAGATTTGGCAAAATTTTAGTCTAAGGAAGACCCCTGAAATCCTTTATGATTTTATTAAGGCATGTGCTAGATATACTTTTTCTATTTCAGTAATCACTCCCATTTGTCAAATGAAGATAACAACAATAAGGAGTTATTGTTAACCTAAAATGATTAATGATCATTGTTCATTGATGAGGACATTTTTGTCAAACCCATTAGGGTTTACAAACGAAAGAGATGGAAGAGGGAATTATTAATTAGTTTCCTAATTTATTTGTTAGTTCCTAGGTTCTCTAAGTTTTCCAGATTTCATTAGGATTTTTAGTTTTTCTAGGATTTCTAAGTTTCCTATTTTATTTGGATTAGGATTTCTTTCCTAGAATAAGTTTAAATTTCCTTTTCACTCTAGGGTTAGATTATTATAAATACCCCGTCTATGTAATTCATTATGGAGTTGAGTTGTTGAGATATAAAGAAAAGCTTATTTTCCAAGGATTGGAGACTACTTGGTGTGAAGCCAAAGCCCTGGAGTGATTCCAGACCTATCCCTTTTGTTCTATTTTCTGTTTTCCATTGTTTTCGCTTCCGCTAAACTACCTAAATACTCAATTCACCCGTGTCCTACATCATTCATGGTCTATGTCTTTCCTCTTGCTATCTATGAAAAAAAGTATAGGATTGAAAATATTAAAATTGACACTTGTTACTCC